CTTTCTGTAGGAGAAGGAAGCAGAGCAGGCGAGAGCTTGCAGCATCATTTCTGGCCTGGCGGGAAGTGTGCTGGTGGGTCCTGGTCGCTAAGCATCCCAGTCGCCAAGCAACCCATGGGAATGGCAGGAGTTGCTGCTCCTGCTTCCCTTTGTGAAGGAGGAGGAAAAGGAAAACAGAGGGTCTGGGGCAAAACTGCCCGATGAGTGAGGCTGGGATGGAGCTGGCATCAGGATGTGCAGTGGCATGTGGCTGGCATCACCAAACTGAGGTGCCCATTGGGATCCCTCTGCAGGCAGGGGACTGCTCCTGGCTGCTTACACTAATTCCACTTGAATTCACATCAGCTTCATGAAGCAAACTCATCTCCCCCGAAACTCCGGGCTAGGTTGTGGCTTTTTCCAGCAGTAATTTCCAGGGAGGGTGCCAAACTGCAGTGCTTTCCCTGCACCAACCGGGAATTTCAAGCTCCAGCCACTTCTCCACAGCCTGGAAAAGCCCTTGTCTGGGCTCACACCACACCATGATGACTTCTGTGGGTGAGACACAACCAAGCATCAGCTTGGAAGTCACCCCTGAGCCCTGCTTTGAAATTTAATTCCCTTTCCAAACTGCCAAGCTCCACTATTATACTTGGTAGGCAGCTCTGGTGCCACCCACCACAGAATGTTTTGGGCTGGAAGGGAGCTTAAAGCTCATCCAGTTCCAGCCCCCTGCCACGAGCAGGGACACCTTCCACTAGACCAGGTTGCTCCAAGCCCCATCCAGCCTGGCCTTGAACACTGCCAGGGATGGGGCATTTTATGTTCTTGCTTGTCAGTCATTCCTAGCACTGCTGCACCGCCTCACACGAGCCTCCACTACCAAACTGGAACTTTTTTACCCTTTGCAAAGTTTTCAGCCTTTCTCTCATAAAGACAAACCTTTTAAGGATAATTGAAACAACAAAATAAGGCAGACGACTCTCTGAGGTACCTTCAACCCTCTGCCTGCCTGGCATGAGCTGCAGAACCACCACCTGAAGCCAAAACAGGACATTTATTCCCCTCGAATTCACCCAAATTCCTTGATTTCTGATTTATTTTCACCAGGAGGTCCTTGGTTTTTGACCTCGAGGTTTTCTTTTGATTTGGACCAGGGCAGCAGGTCCCAGGAGTTCATTTCATTGCACCCATCTTAGTGCAGGGCCAGGGCAGTGATGCTCTCAATGCTGGAGCTGGTTCAGCATCCCAGGCTGTCTCTGCAAGTGGAAGGTTTGGGGATGGTGGGGGATTTCCCGTCTGAAATCCCTTTGTGCTTCAGCCTTCACAGATAAAACCAGACAGTAAAATGCCCCGGTTTCTGCCAGGTGGAAATTCCCAGTCGGCTGGAAGCGGCCCCAGCAGGGCGCCATGGGGACAGGCCGGATCCTGGCAACCCAGGCAGGTATTTTGCCTCTGGCTGCAGCGGCAGAGGGAAGTGAAGGCAATCCCCCTTCCTCCCCTCCTCTGCCCTGCTGTGGGTCACAGCAGAGAGAGGAGCCCCAGCGTGGCCCCAACCAGCTCTCCCCCAGCTCTACCTCATCAAGTGCTGTACAGAGAGGGGGGAAGGAAAAGCCTCTGAGGGGCTGACCGCTGTGAAGGGAAGAGATGGTTTTCTTCACAGAGGCCTGCAAGGGGTATAGCTGGGCAGGGGCAACAGGGTGTGCAGCGTGGAATGGTGTGCAGCGTGGAACGGTGTGCAGCATGGCAGGGTGTGCAACAGAGCACAGTGTGCAGCGTGGTCAGGCATGCTGCACGGATGGTCATGCAGTGTGGCTGGATATGCAGCGTGGCTAGATGTGCAGCGTGGCTGGATGTGCAGCGTGGCTGGATGTGCAGCGTGGCTGGACGTGCAGTGTGGCTGGACGTGCAGCGTGGCTGGACGTGCAGTGTGGCTGGATGTGCAGTGTGGCTGGATGTGCAATGTGGCTGGATATGCAATGTGGATGGACGTGCAGTGTGGCTGGATGTGGAATGTGGCTGGATGTGCAGCGTGGCTGGACGTGCAGTGTGGCTGGACGTGCAGTGTGGCTGGATGTGCAATGTGGCTGGATGTGCAGCGTGGCTGGACGTGCAGTGTGGCTGGACGTGCAGTGTGGCTGGATGTGCAATGTGGCTGGATGTGCAGCGTGGCTGGACGTGCAGTGTGGCTGGATGTGCAGTGTGGCTGGATGTGCAATGTGGCTGGACGTGCAGCGTGGCTGGACGTGCAGCATGGCTGGACGTGCAGTGTGGCTGGATGTGCAATGTGGCTGGATGTGCAGCGTGGCTGGACGTGCAGTGTGGCTGGATGCACAGTGTGGATGGACATGCAGCGTGGCTGGATGCGCAATGTGGCTGGATGTGCAGCGTGGCTGGACGTGCAGTGTGGCTGGACGTGCACTGTGCCCCCCCCTCTGCAGCAGCTTGCACAAGGCTCAGAGGCAGAGCACCCCAAATACTTGCTGGAGACAGTTTCGGATGCAAGACCAGGGTCAGGTTGCACATGGCAAGCTCCTGCCCATGGCAGTGCTTGGGCTGAGGCTGGATGGTGGAGCTGGGAGCCAAGCAGGACCAGTACCAGGACTCTGTGCCAGGCAGACACATGAGCAGGGAACAGGCAGAGCTCTCGTCCATCAACAAACAGGGCCAAGATGCTGAAAACCTCCATGGACATCACCTCCTGTCCCCACGGCAGGGCAACACCGTGCAACTCTCTGCTCTGAGCAGCGACGTGACCCTTCTAGGGATGAAATAACTCACACCCTGAACCCTGCTCATGCTGTCAGGCAGCTCTTCGCTCACACACGCTGGGCCTCCCAGGCGCATGTGAATCTGCAGCACTTCCTTCTCTGCACAGCGGGACCATCCCAGTTCAGCCCAGAGCACCAGCTAACCTGCCTTACTGGTGGTGGTAACCAGGGAGAAGCTTCCCTCCACCTGGGACGTGGTTGCTGGGTTTTTCCCTGTGGTAACCTAAGGTCTGTTAAAACTATTTGATAGCACAAGCACAGCAAACCGCTCGGAAACAGAAAGCCCAGCCGAGCCCTGCGAGGTTTCACTGGGGGCTGATGGGAGCTGCACTCCAACACGTCGTCCTGTTCCTGTTCCCTCTTTGAAACCGCTTCCCCAAATGGAGCCGGGTGGCCTCACTGCGATGCCACCAAAGCCACCGGGCCTCTCCCTCCATGCCCCATCCTAGGGGAAAACACAGCCATGCCAGAGGGATTGACACCCCTTGGGAGGATTTTCCACAAGAAAAACCTAATTTACCCCTGTGGCTGCCCAGGGAAAGGTCTCCCTGAGTTTTTTATGCCAGGCATCCCAGGTTATACCCCTGCTGCATGCCAGGATGCCTTGGTGGAGGAGACGTGGGTATCACATGAGGTCTGCCACCACTGCAATGTGAAGCACAAGCAAGGCTTTGCACGAAAGGTTCCCAGCTCCGTCTAACCCTCATGAGTAATAACTCTGCCAGGGAAAAAGCAAAATGATTCAGACATCGCTTTCCCAGCCCCCAGCGCCTGGAAGAGCCTTTATGCTGAACATTAATAATAGCTGAGCACGAAGGCATGGAAATGCAGAGCCTGGGGACAGTGGCACTTGTGGCCCTGTGCACCAGACCCTTGCACACCCATGTGTCTCATTAGTGTGTGTGAAGCACCACTGGCAAAGGTGAGGGTGTGCTTCCGATGCATATCACCACCATGCACCGTGTCCGCATCCCTGCCTGTCCTTTGAGATGCTGTGCAGCCCCTGTCCCCTGCAGTACTGCCACCACCTGCTGCCCCACACGTCCCCTGCTCTCCACTGCTCCCCAGGCACATACACAGCCAGGTCCCTTGCAGCTCTTCCTGCTCTGACTCTCACCTATGCCCTTACAGACAAGGTTGTGAGCTGTAAACCAGGGCTGCAGACTCCAACCCGAAGTATGATCTGCATCCCGATGCTGCTGTTCCCTGCCCGGCACCAGCAAACTCTCAAGCGCCTGGGTTTGGCTCCAGCTATGAGGATCTCTCATCACAGCACCACAGAGGTGAACTCACAGCATCCCCCTGGCCTTTGCCATGCGGCTGATGCCAGCAGGAGCGATGGTGGGGACGGGGCTGTTCTTGGGGTGCTCCTGTGCCCTGGCAAGTCCCAATGTCATGCTTTCCTTGGGCTTCCTCCAGCTCAAAGGAGGGGTATGTGATGGATGCAGTGGGACACTGCACTGGCTGTCCCTCATCCAACAGATCTCAGGGCTCCAATGGCCACCTTGTCCTTGTGCTGGGCCCAGATGGAGGTAGAGGACACTCTCTTGAAGCACTGCCTTGCTTCTGAAGCCACCAGAAACCCCAGGCTCAGGCCCAGCCACCAGTGCTGACCTCTCCCCACCTCCTTGCCCTATCGCTGGTGCCTTGTCCAGCGCAGTCCCAAGGCACACACCCATCCTTCCCTGCCTGCTGCCTGTCACCAGCTCCTCATCATCCTGGGACAGTCCAAGCCCCACACAGCACTTCCAAGACTCCCAAGTCCATTCCAATCCATGCCCATAGGGTCAGACATCCCCTGGACGTCCTTGTCCCGCGGGACCCGACAGTGGGGCCACTCTTTCCATCTGGGAGATGTGGGGCAGTTGCCCAGCCAGGGCTGTGTTAGCGGAAGCGGTGTGTCCCGCTGGGACCAGGCACCCCCGGCTGCATCGAACCCCAGCACAGGGCTCTTGCATCACCCCCTGGTCTGCAGAGCTCCCGGCTCCGGCTCCCCCCATGTGCCCCCGGGCACGGTGCCGGTGAGCGCAGGCAGGAACCGCCCCGCAGCTGGGCAAACACTGACGCCGGCAGGAGATAGCAGAGCCCGGGCACCTCCCGGCACCCGGCCATGGTGCCCCAAACTCCTCACCCAGCACGGCGGCAGCAAAACGCCATGGGCCCGCTGCCCCTTTCCTGCACCCTCTCCTTGGCTCTCCTCCATCTCCCCAGCATCCAAGCGTCCCCCCTAGAGCGGGCAGAGGCTCTCACCTTGGCGAGGGCACCGGAGTCACCGTTGTCCCTTCGGGCCAGCCCCGCTGTTGCGCTGCCGGTGCGGAGGGTGCCCCGATGGGTGCGTGTCCCACGGGTTGGTATCGGTGCTGAAACCACTCCTCCCCGGTGCCTGCTTCCGGAAAGGGCTCGCTATGGGTGCCCCCGACGCCGGGACTAGGAGGCAGGAGGTGAGGAAGGCCGGGGACCCCTCACCTCGCCTTCCCCACCTCTGTCCCGCGGGCGGGTCGGAGCAGGCCTTGGGATCGGTCAGGAATCTGGGCAGGGAGCCCAAGGCAGCCGCGTTCCGGCTGGTCCCGCTCGTACCTGGGGGGAGCTGGCTGGCTGCCCGCTGCAGGGCCCCCCCACCAGAACCATGGGTCAGGGGGGGCCGCCCCGGCACCGCGGAAGAACCCGAGGCAGGAAGGAGGAGAACGGTGCCAAGAGGCGGCCGGGTCACGGGGCACCGCCACACCCCCGGGGCACAGCAATACCTCCCTGCTCCTGGGGTGCACTGGGCCCCCCTTCAGTGCTTGCTTTAAGGCTCCTCCGAGGACCCCTCTACAGCTGGACACAGGTTGGCCACACAGACCCCCAGAAGACCTGACCCCGACCGCAGGGCTCTGATGGAATGGTTTGGGCAGCACTGGGGGCTTCTGTGGGCTGAGGAAGAGCTGGAGGAGGAGGGGAGCAATGGGGTGCATGTCATGGCCTCAGCCCCACAGCATGCACTGGGGCAGCTGCCGTCCCGGATGTATGGTGGAGGTGGCACTCCCGTGCCGAGTGGGAATGGGGAAGTGGTGGGGTGAAGCTGGCTGGGCAGTTACTCAACCCCCTGGCAGGAGCATGCAGGGTCCTGGGGAGCTGCAGCCCCCCCTGGATCCCATCATCCGTTGCTCAGCAGGTCCCTGCTGTGTCACCCCATCAATGGCTGCACCCTCATCACACAGCCTCACCACCGGCACAGTGGGGTCCCCCACTGTGTGGCATCCTCTGACTCGGAATGGGGTTCAGAGACATGTCTCACACAGTCTCCTTCCCATCCCTTCCTCCTCCATTCAGCTCCCTCTCTTCCCTGCTGCCCCTAAATTAACCCTCCCTCGATGCATGATGCCTGGAAGACACTGGTGCTACACCAGGCACAACCTGCTACAGCCGCTGGAGCACAGCTGGAGCATCCCTGTGTAGCCAGGCACGGACCTCCCTGCACCCCAAAAGGTGCCGGGAGAAGAGGCATAGAGACCAAAAAGCTTCTGTGCACTAGCAAGACCCTCTGAGGCACCAGGAGAGGTTTGGATGGACATGGGTCAAGCACTTGTCACCCTCTTCCCAGCCCAGCTGAGCCACCGGCGGTGCCGGAGCTCCCTCAGCAGCTCTCCCACACACTGAGAGCAGCTCTGACAGCCTGCGCCCACTCTCCTGCCCGGAGCCAGCCGAGCTATTCAAAAGCTGAAATGCAGTCAAGGGGATGAATGGAGCTACCTCCGCATGCCTCGGGTGGGATGGCATCTCCTGGCAAGGGGCAAGGGGAGGCATGGTGGACAGGGGACAGCTGGAGTGGGGAGAAAGCACCAGCTCCAGGGACCCCGCTGTTTGCTGCTGTGGCTTCATGTCTGCCCTGCACACCCTTTCCTCCGCACCCCTTTCCCTCTTCATCCCCTTGCCCTAGTCCAGTCTCATCCACGTACTCCCAAGGAGATGCCTGGGCTCTACACAAGTTTGGGAGAGACCCTGGCACACTGCTTCCATGCCCTGGCCAGCACAGCCCCCAGGGAGCAGGGCAGCCTTTCCCACCTGCTAATCCCTGCCAAAAACTAACCCAAGAGCCCCCCCGGAGCCCCCAGCGGATTCATCCCCGTGACTTACAGGAAAGCTGGTTGAACAGTCTGCTGAGCCATCCCATGCTCCTGCACTGAGGGTGAGCTCGTAGCTACGAAACGCTCGAGAGAAACAGGTTTCCCCCCGCCTCCCCCCTTCCATAAACCACCCTCTTCATTGGCACAGAGAGAAGCGATAAAATCTGACGGGATTTATTAATAGCACCTCTCCTATCACTAGGGAGCGGTGCTTCTGGAACGGCTTTGAGCATCCCAGTGTGGGGCTGCTGGAGGGAGGAGAGCAACAACTTACTTTTGCCAGGGAGCAGGGCTGGGGCCGGAGCCGGAGGGTCGGGGAGATGGAGGAGGGCACCAGCTGCAGCTCCGGAGCCACCAGCAGACGTTTAGGAGCACCACGAAGGAGCAGAGGAAGTTTTGTCACGCAGGAGTCACACCGAAGAAGTGGGGAGGCGACGCCAGGAGAGGAGGCTGAGTATGTCCTTCGAGCCAGGAGGGTTGGATGGAGCGGTCCCCACTCACTCCAAGCAGGTAGAGGGATGCTGCAGGTTATTGCTGCCACCTTGAGGCCGGCCAACCTGAGCTCCTCTGTCCCCCCCTACAGCACCCCAAGGATGTGGGGCTCCCCTGCCCCCCACAACCTATAGCAAGTTCCAGCCAAGCAGTAACTGTATTATTTACTTTGATAAGTGGAGCCAGTTTTCATTGGCACAGGTTGCCCAGAGAAAGCTGTGGCTGCCCCATCCCTGGCAGTGTTCAAGGCCAGGTTGGAGGGGGCTTGAAGCAACCTAGTCTAGTGGAAGGTGTCCCTCTCTATGGCAGGAGGCTGGAATTAGATCTCTAAGGTCCCTTCCAACCCAAACCATCTTAGGATTCTATCATTATCAATCTTGTTTTCACTTAGAGGGGATGAATAATTTTTTACCCAAGTGGCTCAGGCCCCAAACCCCTGAAAAGAGCAGGAGTCAGGGCGGGTGGGTGTCTGCTATGGGCAGCGATGAGGAGACCACAGGCCATGGCAGCACAGGGTGTTGGAGCAAGATTCAGATGCTGGAGAGAGAGTCATGGTTCTCAAGTGTTCTTTCAGGAGCTGTCAGTAGGAGCTGGGACCTGATGGGAATATCACCGCCCATGTGAGCATGGGGGGTCCACAGTGTGGGTGCTCCCTGCCAGCACCCCAGCTCTCCTCAGACCTCGTGAGTGGGAGGGTCAGGCCCTCAGGTTTGGAAGCAGCTGGGGAATCAGGACGTGAGGATTAGCAGGAAAGCACCCGCCATGGTGCTGGATTTGCTCTTCTTTTGCCACCTGGCAGTCCCTGGTGAGGAGACTGCATGTCCCACTGTGTCCCGGAGCTCTTTCACCTCTTGCACATCCAAAGGGGCCACACAGGCAGTGGGCAGGGCCAGCTGGGATATCTAAGAAGCCCATAGGGTCCTCCACAAATTATCTACGGGCATATATCTGCTCATTGACCCCAACTCAGGCCATGTCTGCAGACCCTGGGCTGTCCTTCCTCACCCAGACCAGCCATCCCCCTCCTGGTGCCTCAGTCCAGCCACAATGGGTTCACTCAGCCCTGTAGAGCCAAGATCCTGGCAGGGGCTTGGAGCAGCCCCCAAACCCATCCCCAACACCCCACTATTCTGTCAGGCTCCTGTCCCAGAGAAAATAAGTGCCCCATAAAAGGGGCTGCCTGGGGTCCAGGTTGGATGTGAAGCAGCTGATGCAGACCTGGAGAGGAGGACCTGCTCCATGAGTGTGATGGATGAGGCTAAGATGACCACGTCTGGCCACCTCCAGGCAGCATGACCTCTTTTCCTCCATCCAGAGCTACTGGTGGTCACCACTGCAGGGTTGGGAGGCAGCCATGAAGCCCAGAGGAAGAGATTTCCAGCTTCAGCACGGCCGGGAATGCCCGCCTCCGGGCTGTGGGAACTGGTGGCATTGCTTGTGCTGTTGCCATGGGGTTGCCATGGTATTTTGTATTTGCTGTTGTCATGGAGACAAGAGGAGGTTAGGAGTAGGGGCTGATGCCAGGGCTAACAGGATGTACCCCAGGCCCCACACAAAGGAGTTAGAGGCCTGAATGACCTATGGTTCCCTCTTTTGTTTGGTTTAACTTACTGGTTCCATGACACCCACTAGCACCACAGGAGGGGACAGGCCACTGCTACCCCATGCCTGGTTGAAGGACCATGTGCTCTTGAGCACCATTGCAATGGAAGCAAGGGGAGCACTGCCAAGAAAAGTCACTGTGACAGCTCCTAAGTGGGGTGGGAATTGCACTAAAAAACCCTTGAGATGAGTTGGCCTAACCATCTCCCATCCTTACCTTCAGGTGCCCCTGGCCAGCGAGAACCCTTGCAATGGGAGTTGTGGGATGTCCTTGAAGTGGAGGTGGGTAGCCCAGAGGGATCATCCCAGCCCATTCCCCACAGACGTGCATCACAAATATGGCCTGTACCATAGGAGGTTTTGGGGAGACTCAGCTGTCCCTTTGACAGTGTATGAGCCAGCGAGCAACTGAACACTGTGAGAGATGGCAGGAAAAGAACACAAGAAGGTCGGAGCAGTGTGCTTAGTGTCACCCCAGCCTCTCCTCCCCTCGGGAGGTCTCCCTGGCCTCCCCGATTGACACCTTGGCTCACCCCCCTGTTGTGTAGAGCTTCTGGAGCAGATGCTGGAAGTCCATGTTAATGATGGAGGAGTGGAAATTGGTGTTGCTGATCTTGACGGCAACCCTGAGCCTTTGGGTCCTCTGCATGCTCGTGCTGCCCTGTGCCACTGGCTTGATGGCTGTAGTGTGTGTGAGCAACCTCATGTCCTGTTGGCCCAAGTGCAAGTACAAGGTAGGTGTCCACCCTGGTACCACCCCAAGCCCTCCCAGGGCAGGGTTAGCCCAGGACAAGGCCCATCCCTGGGGTGCTGGGAGGGAGCAGTGAACAGTGGCTGCTGCCCACCCAAGCCAGGCCCCTGCTCCAGAGCCACCGAGCCGCTTCTGCTCAGGCACCAGGCTTGTGGCCATGGACACTCCTGTGCCCATGACTCCGCTTACCCTTCCCAGGGTCCCTGTTTGCCATGCAGGGGCCCTGCTGGCCCACCGGAGACACCCCACACTAACCCCAGGCACTCTTTCTGGGAGCAGGGAACCTTTGCCAGGAAGTGGAGTTGGAAAAGCTGAGGAGGAAGAACCCAGTAGGTGAGCAACCCCATCCCAGAGCTGCGCCGGCTCTGCAGGGGCTCCCAGCCCAGAGATACCATTGCACCAGGAGGCCCCGCAAAGGCTGCCATTGCTCATTCTCCCTCTGCCTCCTCCTTTCCCAGGAGCCTTTATCGTGAGGGATGGCACCAGGGGTCTAAGGAGAACCTGAAGGCTAAGTAAGCAAAGCCCTTCCCTGTGTGGGGGCAGCCCCGTACTGGACCCCTGTCTGGGGAACCCCACATGTGGGTCCCTCTGGACCGTGCAATTGCCAGGGGAGGCAACAGGTGGGCAAGGGCAGGACCCAGCACAGAACCAGGTCTTGGGGTCAGCCCTGATCCCCTGAAGAAGCTGAGGAAGGGAAGAGCTTGGGGGGCAAGGGAAGAGGCTGGTGGCTTGGGGAGGGCCAGGGA